CGATCTGCCCCAACAGAACAGAGCGCGCGACCAGGCCAGGCCCGGATAACTGGCGAAGATCATGAGCACGTCAGCCGTCGGCACCAACTGCAGTCTACTTCTGAAAAACTTGCCAAGCGCCGGTCGCAATTCCGAGGCGGAGGTGGGCTCGGGCGCGGGACCCAGGTCAGGATCCCGCGCGCAAGAGCGTCTGTCCAAGAGGCGATCAGGCTCTCCTGGCGGGGCATCGCCGAACAACTCCAGGTCGCCGCCGTCGGCCCCAAGGGCGCCCCACGGCGGCTCGCAGAGACCACCGGGCAGCGGCGGGCGCGGCTGGAAACCCGCAGGCGGCGGGGGCGCCGAGGCCCGTGGGCCAGGCACCTGCGGCGACCCAGGCGCCACGGGCCCAGCTGGGGCCGCGCGCAGCGCGCCGCCGGCCAGCAGCACGGCGGCCGCCGCATCGCCCGCCCCAGGCTGGCGGGGTGCAGCGCCAGCCTGGGCTGGGCCGCCTCCCTGCGGAGGGCCCGCGGGCAGCCCGGCCATCGCCCCCAGAAGCCGCTCGCACGCCTGCATGCAGGCGAGCACCTCGGGCGAAATGCCAGCCTGGCAATCAGCCGCGGCCTGGCCGAAGGCCGCCAACCAAGGCCGCCAACCAAGGCCGCCTGGAAGTCGCCACCTGCGGCAGGGCCTGGGGCCAGAGCCGCCGATGCCCTGGAACGCGCCTCGTCGCACTCCTCCTGGAACCCGCGGACGGCGTCCTGCTGCTCGACGACATTGACCATGGCATCCCTGGCATCTGCCTCGGGCCGAGCCAGTTTCTGACGAACCTGCACGAGATGCCTGCCAAACGTCCATCGCAGGCTGCGCCAGGCACGACGCGGCGAGCGGTCGACGAAGCAGCACCCTCTCTGTCCGGGACTGAGACAGGGCGCCGCACAAGGCCTGGAACTGCTCATCAGTGAGGTCCATCCAGGTCTTGTGTTCACTTTCGGACAGCTGGCGCACCCTTGTGGCGCCGTCAGCCCAGTCCACAGCAGGAGACGCAAGAGGAACAGCGCGAGGCGCACGAGGCTCGGGCGTACCACGCTACCACACTTGTAGCACTCCGTGCGCCATTCGAAGATGTCTTTGCAGCCGCATTTCTTGCTCGGACGCGCCCACGCACTCCGCAACAAGCCAGTGCCCTTGGCCATCGGCGCGGCCCAGAGGACCGAGGGGATGGACAGAGCGGAGCAAACGAGGAAAGCAGCAGCTGCCTGAAACTTGGGCCTTCGAGCCTGCCCCTCGGCTACGCACAAGCACGAGCCACCCCGTTCCCCCTCCTCCCCTCCCTCCTCCTCCCCATCCTCCCCTTCCCCTCCCTCTACAACCACACACCATGAATACAACTCTCCTGTCTCTCCTGGCGACGTCCGGAAGATGTCCAGCCCCCCGTCCGCGTATGATTTTCTACAGTCCGGATTCCCGGGATATGGGTTTTCGCTGAGGCGTTGGCCCCATATCTGCGCATCGAATTGTTCCCGATGTCCCCTCTTCGCGCGAACGTTTCCGTCCCTTCCAAATTGGCCCAATATGTTTGTATATTCATACAAGTTTATATATAAACATACATATACATATACATGTATACAGTCATATACATAGACATATTCATATACATATACCTATACAAAAAACATAAACATATACATGCATACACATATATACATACATAAACCGTCACGCCCCTTCCCCCCCCCGTGATACATCTTCCCTCTTTTTTTCGCATCCTCGTACACCGAAGACAATTCGTTACAGGGCACTTAGTTGAGGCTCTTTAGGTGTAGCGAAATACGCATTGAATCCTGTTGTGGCGTAGTGCAGAATTACAAATGGATGTCTTTTGTGGCGGATTACAAAGTGATTCTCTTTTGAAGCGGATGACACATTGATTCTTCTCGTAGCGGATTATAAAAAGGGATCCTCTTGAGGTGGCTTACACATTGATTCCTTTCGTGGCGGATTGTACCCGGAGTCCTTTTGTGGCGGATTACAAATCGATTTCTTTTGCGGGGTGTGTAGGAGAAAGGCTGGGAGAGAAAAAAACAAAACAAACAATCAATGAACAATTGTGAAATCTGATGTGTCTTCAATGCGTTTGGCGTCACATGTTCGGGACCACTTTGGGAACACAGCGCTTTCAGCACCCAGGGTTCCAAAACGCTGCGTTTTAGAATGCGTGTTTGTGTCAAAAAATAAAAACCACATCGTCTTGGAACTCAGGATGCTGAACGCGCTGTGGTTCCACAGTTTTTCCAAAGTTTCGACACCACAAACATTGAACACACACACACACATACCATGTTTCACAGTTGTCATTGCTTGCTTTTCAGAATTTTTCTTTATCCACGTTGCTTCCTCCTGCATGTCCCACAAAAGGGAATCAGCTTGTAATCCACAACAAAAGGGCTCCTCTTGTATTCCGCCACAAAAGGAATCAACTTATAAGTCACTACAAAAGGAATCGAATTCTAGCCCGCCACAAAAGGAATTCTTTTGGAACCCGCCACACAAGAAATCAATTCGCACATCCCCACAACAGAAATCTGTTTGAAACTCGCAACGCAAGAAATTATTTTGTCAGCGGATAGAGAGGGATATCGAGAGAGAGAGAGAGAGGAACAACAAAGAAAGAGACCGAAAGGAAACAACAAACAAAAAACAGGTTCCCTCCCTATCCGCGGGAACGTGACCTTGAAACAATTATCGTTCCCGCTCGTGTTTGGGCTGGAGGCTGAACTAGAAAAAGGTTCGATCTCTTTCAACGGGTGCGCGGACGTGAAAATGTTATCGTTCCCGCTCGCGTTTGCGGTGGAGGGTGGACTTGAACAGGTTCACTTTCTGCGGGGGCGGGAACTTGAGAAGGTTCTCGTTCCCGCTCGCCGGCTCGTGCTTGGGCTGGAGGGTTTGACTTGAAAAAAGTTCGCACTCTGCCCACGGGAACGTGAACTTGAAACGGTTATCGTTCCCGCTTGCGCTTGCGCTGGAGGGTGAACCTTTTTTTTTCACCGCGCGCGAACCACTCTGGCTGTCGTTGCTCGCGTTGCTGCCGGGGCGAGATCTTGCAAATAACCGATCCGATCGGGCGATTCCGATCGAATGCGCGTTGACTGCGAAGGCATGGCTCCAATCGATTTGCTATATGATGTGATCAGGCAGCCGACCCGCGATCTCGCAGAGCGCCGATCATATCGTTTAGATGCTATCGAACCCCAGGCCGATATCCCAGTTCTACGCGCCGATCGGTTTGCACTGAAAAGTTCGCATGCGAGCACCGAAAGACTGGATCCGTGCCGCACAACTCGTCGTGCTGCAGGCGGGATTGGGAGCCAACCGCCAGGAAGCATTCGGATAATACCAACGTGATGTTGCATACCGATGGCGCCCGTGCATATAACATGAGCATTCCTGGAAAAAACAGCGTTGTGCATTGCAAGAAAAAAGCCCGTCATTACAGGAAAGACCGTATGGTACCGTATGGGTGAAACCGAAATGCTCGGAGATAAAGAAGCACATTTTTCCTGGCGGGCAGGACCTCTTCGTCAAAACAGGCACGCAGGTCATCGATCGCTTCTGGTCCCACTTGAGAACTCACCTGGGCAGGCGCGCGCACAAGGTCAACAACATATCAATGTGGAGACGTGCTCGTTCTGCTCATTGGACGTACTGGGAGAAAGGCCAGGACCTGTGGGTGCGCACGGGTGAGAAGCTGCGGACTCTTTACTTATACTTGGCCGCCTAGGTGTTTTATATCAAAAAGCGCTGCAAACGCACGTGGATTTTTTCGCGTGACGACAGTTGTGGCAAATCAGTGGCACAATATCACACACTTACTGCGGTAGTGAGGAAAGAATAAGGTGGATCACCGGGGGGCGTGTAAGCATATCTATATCTATATATATATATATATGAATAAATAACAACATGAAACACCGGCTATGATTTCCGCATTCGGTCTCGAACCGCTGGTCTTTTGAACTGCAGAAGCCCCATCCCCCCCACTTTGGAGCGTCGTCGTTTTCAGGACATATCAAGCAGGAGCCTTGTTCCTGCTTTGAGAAGGCGATGTTGAAAACAGAACCAACGGGTACGTTCCATCAGACCCGATTTGTGTGGAGCTGTTCGGGGAGCTCAAGGAGCTCGACATGGAACCGCGACTCCAGACCGACCCAGACCTTTCGAAGACGATCCACTTACCCTGTAAGAACCCTGGCGCCATGCCAAACCCTGGCGCCATGCCATGACATGCTGTGCGGTGATGTGTTCTGCGCCGCTGTGCGATGCCATGCTTTGCGTTGCAACGCTTTGTGATGCAATGCTTCACTGCGCAATGGAACGCCATGCTATGGCATGCTACACTCAGTCGTGCTCTTTCTTACCATGCCATACCGTGCTCTACCATGCATCGCGCACCCTCTCGCGATCACTGCCCTGCTCGACATCCGACTGCGCGAATATAGAGGATACCAACGCCATGGGAAGGGACGGGGGGGTAGGACGTCAGATACGACGCGAGCGCACCTAGCTTGTCCTCCTCCCCCTCCTCCCCCTCCCCCCCCTCCTCCTCCCCCTCCCCCTCCTCCTCCTCCTCCTCCTCCCTCCTCCCCTCCTCCTCCTCCTCCTCCTCCTCCTCCTCTCCTCCTCCTCCTCCTCCTCCTCCTCCTCCCCCCTCTCCTCCCCGTCCCCCACACACCCGCCCCCTCCCACACCCCCCCCACCCTCCTCCTCCTACGCCGCCGCTCCCGCCCTCCCCCCCTCCTCCTCCTCCTCCTCCTCCTCCTCCTCCTCCTCCTCCTCCACCTCCTCCTCCTCCTCCTCCTCCCCCTCCTCCCCCCCCTCCCCTCCTCCTCCCCCCCTCCTCCTCCTCCTCCTCCTCCTCCCCCCTCTTCCTCCTCCTCCTCCTCCTCCTCCCTCCTCCTCCTCCTCCTCCCCCCCCCTCCCCCTCCCCTGGCCGTGGGCGCCCCGCCCGCGGGAGCCGCCGCCTGCGGCCCCCTCCTCGTCCACCAGCACGCCGGGGGGCAGCGCGGAGACCAGCGCCAGCCGGGCCGCCTGCCGGGGGCCGCCCGGCCGCCGCGGCGCGCCACGAGGCTGCCCCACGAGGTGCCGCCGCCCCGACCAGGATCTCGCCGACGAGGCATAAGTCGGGCCTGTCCCCCTACAGGGGGATCTTCGACTGAAAATAACAAATTTCCAAACATATTCCAGAATGGACAAAACATGCTCAAACCATAATCCCCGGACTATTTTTGACTCATTTTGAATATCCCCCCTGCAGAGGGACAGGCCCGACTGAAGACCAGGATCTAGTCGACCAGATGGGGTCGGAGGATCGCGCCTGGCGATGCATCGGTGATACACCAGTGATTGCATCGTCGACGTCGAGCCGCGTCGGCGATGCATCGGCGGTGCGGCGCGATCCTCCGACCCCATCTGCTCCTACCACATCTACGAGGCCTAGAGAGACATGCTCGCGGCGCGCAGGAAAGTCGCAACGTCCGTTATGGTGAACGTTGTCTTTATCGGGACGCACGGGGAGATGCTGATACTATCCTCGTTGGAGGCGCGCGTCCGGCGCGAACGTATAGTATACCCACATTGTGCTATATATCTAGATCGTTTCCCGAGCAATGCGGCCAGAAAGCGCCCACCACGACGCATGTACTCTCAAATTTCTCTGTGCGCGCGTCGCCCCTGGAAGGACGACACACACACACACACATACACACACATATAAAAAAATAGAAGACTGGGGTGGCGCAGATTGTTCGGCGTTACGGCATTGAGCGAAAGGGGGGGGTCTGGCTTCGGACCTCTGCTTAGTGCAACTGCTTGCATAGTGCGTCCCAGGGGGGGTGGGGGCCCACTTACTGGAAACGGGCGCCCAAAACTGCACTCCATGGGTGAGGAGGAGGAGGAGGAGGAGGAGGAGGAGGAGGAGGAGGATGAGGAGGAGGAGGAAAGGAGGGGGGAGGAGGAAGGAGGAGGAGGAAGGAGGAGATGACGGAGGAGGGGAGGGGAGGAGGAGAGGAGGAGGGGAGGAGGGGGAGGAGGAGGAGGGGGATGAGGAGGAGAGGAGGAGGATGAGGAGGAGAGGAGGAGGAGGAGGAGGAGGAGCCAACAGGAAGAGGGGCGAGGGCCCGCGCCGATCGGCAGGACAACGAATAATTAAGAGAGCGACGACCTTGGGGCGAACCCTCAGAGCAGTTGTTTCACAACGGGCGTTGTCGCTCAACCGGGGGGCCCCCAGGCCCTCAGCGATCGCTCCGGCTCGAAGCACGGCGGAGAAAGGTAGAGTCAGAGGCTCCGATGGTGACTTTTCGCGACGCGTCAGATCTCAGGCAGAGGTCTCGGCCAGGACGTGCTCGCAGCGTGCAAGAAGATCGCGGCGTGCGGCTTTGGACCGCTCCCGGCCGCCATGGGGCCCTCGCGACGGGCCCCAACAGGGGCCGTCCGGAGACGGCCCAGGAGGGCAAAGCCGGCTTCGGGGAGAGCCAGGGGCGTTTACAAGAAGGGGGCGTCCAAGAGGCGGGCTGGCAAATCATTGCCAAAGGCATGTGCGCGGACGAAGGGGAGTTCAGGGCACGTAGTGATCGGCATCGAACCTGGGGAAGAAGTTATTACACGACTGTGACCAGCCGCTGCTTACCGCGCTCCAGAGCTCCGTTGTACTGCATCAAGCCTGCGGGGCAGCTCGCGGAGACGCCCACAGCACGATTACACACAGTGGCCGACATGAGCGAAACCGAGGCGGCGCCGCATACCCTACCATGCTGAGGCCAAGAGCTGTATTTAAAGTCACAAGAACTTGTGCTACGTACCTTCTTGGTTGGCCCACGAGGCCAAAACTATACGGTCAGCACAACACGAGGCGAGAGCGAGGGAGAGGAGGAGGAAACAGAGCAGCCTCAGGGAGCGGGAGGCCAGGACACTGCCAGCGAATAGTGGAGCGAAACAGAAGCAGGAGCAACCCTGCCAGACAAAGGATGACACGACGGTGCCCCGAGACGCACCCCCGGCCCACGGCCGCCGCCCCGCGAAGCGCTTTTTGCCCCGAACCGGCCCGCCGGAGTTGGACTGCAGAGCTCTGCGCCCGCGCGCCAGCGGGAGGGGGAGGCGAAGGAGGAGGAGGCCCAGGATGCAGCAGGAGGAGGAGGAGGAGGAGGAGGAGGAGGAGGGGGAGGCGAAGGAGGAGGAGGAGGAGGGGGAGGCGAAGGAGGAGGAGGAGGAGGAGGAGGAGGAGGAGGGCGCGGGCGGCTGCCTGCAGCTCCTGGGCGTCGAAGGAGTCCAGCGAGAGCTTCAGGCGCCGCCTGCCGGGAGCGCTGTCCGTGGAGGGGTAAGACCTCGGCGGCGCCGCCGCGGGCCTCGACGACGACGGCCTCGACGACGACGGCCTCGACGACGACCTCGACGACGACGGCGACGACCGCGACGACGACCGCGGCGACGACCACGACGACGACCACGACGACGCCCTCGCCGATCACGAAGACGACCGCGGCGACGGCGCCGACGACGACGACCTCGACGACGACGACGACAGCAGTGGCGACGACGGCCTGGATGATCTTCGGATGGCCTGTTCTGGAACTCGGCCTCCGCGGGAAGGCGGGGGGGGCGCCTCCGGAGGCCTGCGAGGCCGTTGGGAGCCCATCCTGTGGAGGAAGAGGTCTGGGGTATTCGTCGGACGACAGCCTCGCCGGCGCCACGACCGAGACGACGAGGACGACGAGGGTGCTGGGCCGACGAGACCTGAGAATATCGGCCGCCCCTGGCGAGGCTCAGCGCGG